AGTAGAATATTATCAAATGTGCGACTGCATGTGTGATTTTTCAGCCCTGTATGTTATCCAGACAGTCTTGTTTAACACGAGTGAGCAGTTAACAATAAAACATTAAAGCACATTATGTTCACATGTTGTCTGAAGCTGCATATTGGATTTGTTCAGAATTATTTGTCACCTAAGACGAGACCTACAGGCCGTTTGTCATGAGGTTATATCAGTGGAAAACTGTCACTGCTAAATATAGCAATGCAGAAAATATTCAAGTAATTATGCCCATGAAATTCATCCTCAGTGTTGATAAACCTTGAAGCTGGCTTTGGGTAAAACACAGAGAAAGTGTTTTTCAGCAGAAGAGGTAAGAGTCAATGAAAGTGCTTTATTTCTCTTACTAAAAAGAATAATAATCTGGTTTCAAAAGAAAAAAAGAGCAGCAGTGAGACCAAGCTACGATGAAGACGAGGGTACTTTAACTCACACAAACGCATTAAACTTGAAACCAGCAGCCCACACAACAAGACCTCCTCGTCCTTCCTCCTTCGTTTTTGTCGCGGCGGCGAAGGACTTTTACTGTTTTTCAAATTAGCGCTACATCACAAGAAGTGAGTGTGTGTGTTGACTGTAAACCCCCGCTGCTACAGAACTGTACAGACAATGAGGAATGCTTGTACATCCTTATTACCCCCGCTGAGCGAGATGTGGGGAGAGCGGGGCAGAAAGAGCAGCGCGGCGGCGAGAGTCGGTCGGACGCTGGCGACGCTCTGATGTGATGCCACGTGACAGGGACGTATTGTGATGTGACCGAGGGTGTAATGTGATTAAATGCAAGTTTATATCTCACGCAGGCCCTCCAAATTAATTTCACATTCGCCGATCCCCTCCTGCGTGATGCAAATTTTTTTACAGCACATGCTCGGTGCCTCTTCCGTGTCCTCGTTTCCATCACACGCAAACCAAAAGCTGCGTGGAGCTGCACCGCATGACATGATATCTGGATTATTGTAGTTAGCCACGACAACAAGCAAATCTAAGTTCACTCACATGTTTTTTTATTTTTTTTATTTATTTATTTTTTAGCAGCAGCAGCAGCAGCCCAGCTGTGCGGTTCATGGTTTATGCAGAAATTCAAGCATCATGCTCGTGCAGACGTGGGATTAGCGGCCACGCTAACTGCTGCTCTTAGACACGCATGGGCGGTCTGAACAAAGACACGCCGCGATGGCTGCCTCATATAGGTTTGGGGTCAAGTACGGTCACGTTAGCCTTCAGTTAATCGGGCTTGTTTTGCATTCGAACCCTGAAAAGGGACGCGATTTCACGGCTCTGATCTTATGAATACATGCATGTTGATTGGAGCCATCGTGACCCGTAAACCATGTGTGAGGGCGACGGGGGCGTTACGTGTTGGATTAAACGTTTAGTTGTGAACTATTAAATTAACCTTTTGGTAATCTATCAGTTGTTTGTTGTGTCTTGGGCTGCAAGGTGAAGTGGTGGTTAGCATCGTCGCCTCGCAGTGAGAAGGTTGCCGGTTTGCGTCCCAGTGAGGACACTCGGGATCTATGGAGTTTGCATGTTCTCCCCGTGCAGCGTGGGTTCTCTCCGGGTTCTCCGGCTTCCTCCCACACAGTCCAAATACATGTTGAGGTTAATTGGTGATTCTAAATTGTCCGTAGGTGTGAATGTGAGTGTGCTTGGTTGTCTGTCTCTAAGTGTGGCCCTGTGATAGACTGATGACCTGTCCAGGTGAACCTGCCTTCACCCTCAGTCAACTGGGATAGACTCCAGCCCCCCAGTGACCCCAGTGAGGATTAAGCAGTGTATGGATAATGGATGGATTATGTGTCTTTTCTCAGATTTTTTTAATTGGCATGTTAATAATTAGCATAATGCTAACACTCAGTTAATAGTGATGACACAATTAATGTCATTAGAATGTTAAAATGTAATGTGACCTGATTTTCCGCCCTAATTGAAAGCCGTCTCCGGTAAATTCGAGAGTCACAATAGCGACCGCGTCCCGGCCGAGCTTTGTGCAGCGCGTCACATTTTAGTGCACTCTGGAAGCACCGCCACTGGAGCCTGAGCTATTTGCAGCGTCTCTGTATTAGGTTGTGTTTTATCAAGGAGCAGTGTGTTCCGGCCCTCGGGGCGACTGAACTGTACTACACACTCCGCTGACAGTTTACTAGGTGCGTATAGCTAAAAGCTAAACTTAATGCATTCTACTGACTTGTGTTTCTATTATTGTGTCAGCCCCGTTTACATCAGGGAGGGTCGGCCAAATAACAGAGGCACCTCTCTGTAGGACGCTGTACAGTTCAGCGGCGCAGTCGAGTCGACCCTTCCCTAATGCGGTTACAACAAAAACTGAACATTATGACCTACATGAAGGAGGACTCATCGCAGGGCTGCTGTAATGTGATTTGCTTTTAACTACGTTTACCCAATAAACTGACAACTCTAATCATTTTTATTCTTAGAGGATAATTTATCAGATTAAATGCATTATAAAGGCAAATAGAAGCAATGAGCTGTTGCACAGAAATCCTGCTTACTTTTTAAGTTTTACCACTTATTTAGGGCGCTACAAAAACACCCACTGAGAGGTT